TGGGGGTGGGGGGCGGGGTGGCAGCACCCTGTGGGGGTGCAGGCAGGTTGGTGAGGGGAGCACCATGGGGTGACAGCTGCCTTCACCTGAGAGGTTGGTTTGGGGCATTTATGCCAATGCTTCCCTGCTGCTTTTGGGTGCAGAAAAAGCAGAATCTGTTGTTGGTGAGAAGAAAGTAGCACAGGACAGGCTTAACCTCGTGGGGTGCGTTTTGGGGAGAACTGCAGGGTTGGTGCCACCGATGGGTGCTGGTGTTAGGGGGCTGTGGTGTGTGTATGGGGGCAGGCAGAGCTACACCCTTGCCTAGCAGCATCGGCAGCCTCACCGGGGTCTCCTGGGCATCCCTGGCTCCACAGGGCTGCTAAGCCCCACTTCCTTGCACTTTCAGGGCAAAAAATGCTCAAAACCTGTTTTTCTACCTCCAAATTCTGCTTATATGGCAGAGTTTCGGGTTGAAAACTCCCCTGGTTTTGTCCACTGGGATGTACTTTGTGCAGATGGAGAGCCTTGGCTGAGGGGTGGCCAGTTTTTTGTGCTGGGGGACCGACCCCCACATGCGACAGGTGCCAGATGCGCCAGCCAGAGTTCGGCTGTCTGGTGGCTCTGCCGGGATGTGGCGGAGGGTGGCGAGCAGATGGCGGGGAGATAACACCTCCCTGGTGCTCCAGTAAGTATGGCCCCACTCTGCCACTGATTAAAAGATTAATTTTAGAGTTTGAAATAGGAATTTAATAAATAAACATGAGCTGCCACTGGGACCTCACCCAGTACCATCAGGGCACGGGGTGGTGCTTGCTGTGGCTGGACTGGTGTGACCCCCGGGGGCTCTCCCGTATGGCTTCGCTCCCCCGGAGGGGGGCTGCTGGAGGCTGTAAGCAGATTTTACAATTGTGGCTTTTCTACAGGAGCTTTGCCTGACCTGGTAGGAAATAAAACAACCCTGAAGGTGCCCATTGATGTGGGGCAGGTCTCGTGGCTGGTGGCTGCACCACGCTGTGCGTGCCCTGGCTGGGTGTAGACCCACTGCTGGCTCCTTGCTGGGCATGGCTGGGGTGCAGGACCAGCTCAGTGCTTTCCCCAATCCTCTTTGCGTTATTATAGCTGCCGTGTTAACAGTTTGTGCCGGAGTCTGGCTTTGAGCACGGGGATGTTTGCAGCTCAAAGATGGGTCAAAGCTCTTCCCAAGCCTCTGCTGTGCTCCTGGCTCAGTAGCACATTCTGAAATATTTCCAAAAAATATATTGTTTTCCCATCTTTCTATACCCAGCCATGTCGCTCCCCTCCTTCTTTCCATCTTCTTTCTTATGGATTCACTTGGGTGAGTTTCCTGCTGTAGTTTTCCCCAATTAAGCTGGGGAGGACAGACCAGTGGCCTGACTGGCAGAGCAGGGTCTCAGTCCCCACCAGTGACCATCCCCTGTTAATAAGTTTATAACCAGTCCAATCCCACAGCCCAGGGGATTTAGAATGGCAGGGAGGCTTATAATCGTGTTAACCCTTCACAGGAGTGGAAGGCAGGCTTCCCTCTGTATGAGAGGCCACTGCTCCTCTGTCCTGCTGGGGCAAAAATGAAGTGAACTTCTTCGAGGTTTCCCATGCCATTGTATTTAAACTGTGTTCATCCCATCTCAAGTGGGTACATCTGAAGTCTGGGCTGGAGCAGATGTTGGGGGACATTTATCTCTGCTGGGTGTGGGGCTCTGGCATTTTTCCCAAAAATCTCTGGCAGACCAAGCCTGGCCTTGCTTCCACCTGAAACAGCCTCTCATCTTAATTTCTGCAGGACAGGCTCATTAAAGAGGCCCTTTTGCTCAACCAAACACTTTCAGAGCAGCATGGGAAGAGCTGCATGTCAATGGAGGTGTCTGGCTACCCCTCTCCAAGCCCCAGCCATCTCTGAGACCAGCTCTGCCAGGCAGGTGCCTGCAGCTGAGCTTCTCGCTGGGCAAGAAGCACCTCCAGAAAATTCTTCACCTCTGTTGACTTGGTGCATACATTGCAGGTGGGATCAGCTCCCTTCTGGAAGGCCCTGTCCCAGCTAGGGTGCAGGTGGTGGGCAGCGGAGACCTGAGTTTTAGGCAGAATTTAATTGGGATGAATCCCTCATGCTGAAGAAATCCACTGGCTGAGGAAGATATTGGAAAATGGGGATGAAGTTTTAGAGGAGGGTGATAAAGGGAGTCAAAGAACAGAAAAGCTTGGCTAGCAGTGAGAGGTGGCATTTCCACCTCCCTGTGGTCTTGGTGGCCTGGTGGTGCTGGTTCATGGGGCAGATGCCCTTGGGAGAAGGGGCCTTCCTCCCTGAAGGGTGAGGAGACGCATCTAGCACGGGGTGGAGACATGGTCTCAACAGCAGGATGGAGTAAGCATTGGAAAACTGCCTTGGCTTTAGAAATTCCTCACCTCTCCATCTTTAGACTAATGAGCAGGCTTTGGTTTGGGCAGGGGTGAAGGGTGACCCACTACCACAAAGAGTGGGGAGGATGAAATGCTCCCCAGGAGCCACCCTCTGACCTCTGCAGCTGGAGGAGACCTGTGCTCAGCTGCAGGGAGTGGAGCTGGGTTGGCAAGGGGGCTTGTTAGGGTGGGGTCAGGGTGGCCTCTGGCTTGCCTTGGAGGAAGGACAGTGACTTTCCCTCCTGTCCAGGAGGACTGACCCCCTTTGCAAGGAAGGGACACCGCGAAGACGCGGTGTGTGACGCTGATCCATCCACCTCAGGAAGGAGGGGATGGGTGTGCAGCCCTGCAGGACGTAATGGGAAGGAGCCTCTCTGGTCCCCTGGGATCCCCCTCTGTGCCCCAGAGGAAGGGGATGAAGGACCACTGAGGTCTGCGTGGCCATCGGGAGGAGGAAGGTGCCTGCAGGGTGTGGAAACACTGGTGTGTGACTGCTGTTAGCTGTGCTGGTGGGGAAGAGGTGTCACCATGAGTGGTGTCACTGGGAAGAGGCAGGGCTTGGGGGAGCAGTGTCACCCCACAAGGGCTGGAAGCATCGCTTCATCTGCTGCCACCCTTCTCCTCTGCCTGCAGGCGGGTGCCCAGGGAGCTGCTGGTGCCTAGGGCTGGGCTGGGTGCACAGAGCTGCCGGTCCCTGGTCCCATAGCACCCGTCTGCTTTCTTCATCAGTGATTTTGGCCGTGTGCTTTTGTTTGGGTACAAATTACTCCTGGGGAGATTCCAGCTGGACATAAGAGGAAAATTTTTCACAATAAGAACAATTGGCCATCGGAATAATCTCCGCTGGGAACTGGTGGATTCCCCAACATTGGACAATTTTCTGATTCAGCTGGACAGGGTGCTGGGCCATTGTGTTTAGATGCTGCTTTTTCCAAGAAAGGCTGGACCTTGAGGACCCTTCCAACCTGCTATTCTGTGATTGTTAGTTCCCTCTTCTGTTCAGACTTGTCTGTGAATGTTCCTGATCTTATGAGCTAACCTGAAGTGACTCCACGGGTACTATTTATGAAAACAATGTGGGTTGCACCATGACTGTGGACAGTGGGCAGTTGCTTCCCAGCTCCATAGCAGCTGATTTATTTTGTTTGATTTATTATCAACACTCTGTAGCTGATCCTGTAAGCATCACAGTTGCATTTTTCTGTTTTCTAATCAGATGTAAACACCTCTTCAGCCTACACTAATTTTGTTTCGTCATGAAACAAACATTGGGTCATTATTAAGCAAGTGCCTGGGCAGCCCTTTTCTCCCACTGCAGCTCAGCGCGATGTGGGGCAGAGACCATAACCCAGCACCCTGCCGAGGGCTGCACCCTCCCACCTCCAAACTTCTTCCTGCTGCTGTCTGGAGCTGAAAGCCCTCAGACAGACCTCCCTGCTGCTGCAGGACATCTTTCCGCTTCTAATTCCCACCCACACAAACCTGCTCAGACCCTGTTCCTCTGCTAAGCCTCGCACAGTGGCTCCCTGCGGGCTTGGGGATGCTGCTATCAGCACAACCCACCCGTCCCCAGCTCTGGCATCCTTGTGCTGCTGTTTTGCTGAGCTCAGGATC